ATGCGATAAAGTGTGCACACAGACGTATCTCCTTTCGCAGAACTCGTCATCGACGAACGGACTGGAACGGAAAGGCATGAAAAACAAACGCCTTCCGCATTTATGGCCACCATGATCGGACTGATTTCATGGGAGCCATCGTCAAGCTTCATGGCGTCGAACTAGGAATAGTTCTAGCACGTAGCCAGAGGCTGGAGGGGGACAACTGCCCCTCGGGCGAATTTTCTGCCCCTCTCAGATGGGGAAGAGGGCAGGAACATGTTACGATCGGTGAGCGGTCTCGTCGCCTAAACGAGAACGGTATTCACGGTTTTCAGAAACTCTCCTCGGCTGCGAAATCCTGACTAAGGGGCTGATAGAAGGAAAACGTGTCTTCGCTTTCAGCTTCTCAGTATCCTGTCACGAATTCAAGAATGTTCCTGACAGATTATAAGAATGCTCTCGACAGCCTTGCGCTTCGTGATGATAAAAGTGTCGAGTTCATTCCGTGTATTTTTCCCACACGACGGTCAGAGGGGATGATGGAACACAAAACGAAAAAGCCCCATGAAGCCAGACGGGGTTAATAAACGGCGGGAAACCGAGGGACTCATCCACTATTTCAGCCTCTGATGAGGACGTTGGCATGGTTACAAGTCTCAACTTGCCCCCGGGCCCGAAGCAGCCTCAAGTTTCAACCTGGTATTCAGTATCGCCCGTTTTCGTTTGCATCTCCACCCACGCTTGTGTGCATCTGTGATATGAATCGCTCCGCGCGAGGACTTCTTTATTTGGTTCGTTTTTCACGAACGATTTTTGACAGGCGCATACGGTCGTGAAAAAATTGCCTGCTAGTCCTTGTTAAGGAATTCCTCCCAAAAAGTTTTTTTTTTTACATCGATGTAAGTGCAAATAACAGAATGTCTCCCCGTAACACTTGGGAATATTGGTCAAAATGCAAAGGGTAGAAAAGCTCTTTTCACTGCAGAACATTTTTAGAAAAAACGGCAGAAATCGGCTTTTCTCGTCTACTGATCGTATATACGCAGGGTGGGCCAAAATAAGGACTCTTTTCAACGATACACAATATTGCGTTCACTGCATATATTTTAATGTTGTTTGCGAAACTTGAAAGAGGAATGTATAAACTTTAAAATGGTGTACTTTCATGTCAACAGTTTAAAAATTCAGAAGCTCGTATGAAGAAGCAAACACTGCGTTGCCGCGTACTCGGATGCAGACGGCATGTGACCTTCAACTGCCGCCTGTTCATCCCAGCCCATCCCCATCCATCCCTACTTCTACAAAACAACGCAGTTTTTGTTTGCTGTTCAGATCAGCTTCCGAATTCCTGAAACTGTTGAAAATATTTGAAATGTAAGTACACCGTAACTTATTCATTCCTCTTTCAAACACTGTACCGCAATAACATGAAAATACTGTACAGCAGGGATGTGCAACCCGCGGCCCGCAGGCCGCATGTGGCCCGTGGACATACTTCTTGCGGCCCGGTAATGCATAATGGGATAACATGAGGTTCTTAGCGGCCGAAGGCCCATCGCAACATTGGTCAACCCTAAGTAAAAAAAAATAGACATTTCACTTCATTCCGATTTTTCTTCACGCGGTGCTGCATATGTCCCATATGTCACAAGGAAGAAGGTTCTCAATGCCAAAGGCTATTTTTGGACGTTGGAATTTCCTTGGGGTGGGGAGGAGGTAAGGATCATCGGCAAATCAGCGCGACCTTATGCCCTCATATGCCCTGAGGACAAAAGAGGGGAGCCTTTTATTTTGCATTCTGTGGCCCGCGTCAAAGGTCACACATTTCCATGCGGCCCACTGCCGATAAAGGTTGCACACCCCTGCTGTACAGTATATGTAGTGAGTGCAGTATCAGTGTATCGTTGAAAACTGTCCAGTATTTTTTTGGCCCAACCTGTAGAGAAAGAGGCAAGTCGCTTGCACAAAAGCGTACGAGGGGTCTTCGTCTTTGAATATGGCGTCAAATTCAAAATGAAACAGAATCGAGTTGGGCTGTATGAATAAGAAATATTGAAAAACTTACCTGGAGCACTACTAATAAAGACCGTCGGGTCTCCCGCCAAACCATCCCGTGTTTTGAGCTATCCACTAGATGAATAAACTTATTGCAGAAATTAAATGGTAGGCTGAAGCCAGCCTCAAATGACAAGATTAGCTTCTATTGTTTCTATGAACCGTTACTAAAAGTGCAATTTGGCCAGGAGCTGAATGGGACTAAAAATCGGCCCTGGTATTTTACACATTTTTAACGGCCCTCGTCGAGGCTGTGGCTTATAAGTTTATAGTGACTGCTGATACGGATTAATAGGCAATGATTAGGCCTACCTCATGATTCAGATTAACGAGCTCCAGGCCATCCCTCTACCTACAGTACATGCAGGGCTATATTCCGACCTTCTAATATATTTGATATATCGATGATAGTGACTGACTGACGCTAATTCTAACCATGCTAGAAAAATTAGAAATCTGACAATTGGTACACAAGTAGCTATTGATTTGCGCAGTTCAGGAAAATTCCGACTTTGGAGGTAAATGCCCTCGGAGCTCATTTATTCAGGAGGACGTTTTTAAAAAAATTACTTTTTCTTCAGTCAAACGGAAAGACACGGAAAGCTGAAAATGGACGTGAAAATGCCTATTAATGTGCTGATTTCCAGAAAGCTCCAATTTTCATATACATGCTCTGGGAGCACATTTTTTTTATGGAAATGTTTTCAAATAATATTTTTGGCTTCAGTCAAACGGAAGGACATGAAAGCTGAAACTAGGAATGAACGCGGCTACTAATATGCTGACTTCACGAAAAATTGTACTCTTCAGAGCGCCGAGAGCCGAAGGCGCGTTAATAGCGAGTTTGTTTGACCGAAGGGCAAACAAACTCGCTAGTAAGTAATAGTGTAGGCCTTCCTTCGCTCTGATGCATGCAACATACAGCGTAAAAAAAGATGAAAACAGCTCACTTTCCCTCTGGCACAAGCAGACTGCACACATGTTCACTCTTCACCGCAACCCTGTCGATCACTCCTTCCACGTCAAGGTTCATGAGAACATTCCTTTCTGTTGCCATCAATGGCGTAGCGAGGGGGGGAGGGGGGAGCTGGGATTTCGACCATAGTTGGGGGGAGGTTTCAGCCCCCCCCAACTATGGTCGAAATGCATCCGCCACCTCCCCCCCTCCATAGGAGAAGCTAGGGAAATTCTAGGCCCCCCCCCCCCCCTCAGTTTCCTCTAGCTAAGGTTACCATATGTCTGGATAATTTTCCTTCTTTTCCACCTTCAAATTTTCGTCCGACTGCTGGGCGTCCTCCTTTTGGCTGTTCGAAATATGGTAACCTCTAGCTGCCCCCCCCTTTGACGAAATCTTTGCTATGCCACTGGTTGCCATAGCATGAAAACCTCCAGATGCTCTTATGCTATGATGCTCCTCAGTCGGTTCTTGATAAACTTTAGCGTGGAGAAGCTTCTCTCACAGGCAACTTGCGTCAAAGTGTCAGTAAGAAATTGTAGGCCAGGAAAATCACATTATAGGCATCCGTTAGCAAGTTGTACCGCCTCACAACTTGATAGCAAGAAATAGCGCAGTCCTTAAATGTAGAGCATGGCTTATGCACCGGCTTCATTTCAATGTCATCATACTCGTTCTCCTTTCTCGTGGTTTCCTCAGATGTTCTTGCCATCATGACCGAGTATTCTTCTGGTATTGAACTCTTGAGTTTCTCCCAATGCAGAGCTGGACGGATTAATTCACGTCGCAAATTGTCTGCCGTAGCTCCGTCATCAAGCTTCATCAAGCGTTTGCTTAATTCCTCCAGCGCTTGAGCCTGGAGTCCATGATCGTTTATATCAGAGAAGTTCTTCACGTCCAGACAAGCAAAGTCGGCATACAGTATTCCGCCGCCAAGGAAAATGCATGCTCTCCCAGACCTTCTCGAGGATTACGTTGTGGACTCGATCCTGATAGGCTGTAATAGCATATGAGAATGGTTCGTCATGAGCGGATCCGCCTGCCATGTTTCCTTTATGCATACCTCTCTACGAAACCGATAATTTCGTTTTTCAGAACTAATTCCTTCAGTAGGCATACTCTGGATTCCCTCTCTAATTTCACTAGGCTCATGAGCTTTCCAGCTTGGTACACGAGTAAACAAACTTGGTAAACAAGTCAGTTAGTTTCGCACATTTTTTTAGCTTGGACTTCTAGATACTTGAGTTCCTTCGCTCTGCCTTTTTTTTCGTTTTCTTGGTTGATTATCCGTTTCTGGGGCCTACACTAGTGTACGGCAAACTGTCTGCTGTTCTTACAAACGAAAAACCCCTATCGACCACATGCACTATGCAAACATGCGAAATACAAATAGGCTACGAGCATGCGCCGTTTCCATATTGTCTTTGTGCAGTTGGGGAAGTTCGTCAACTCTCAACTGCAAGGCGCTGTGAAATCGCATTGCGGCGATGGTGGCGCTATTGAAAATATGTGTTATACCACGCAGTCCTAGCAACAGCTCCGGGCCGGATGCGCATCACCAGCCCAACTGGGAAAATGCCTACCAATGCGGATATTTCACTGTAAATGTTATTTTCGGGAAACTAGAAACTACTACTAGAAACGCCTAGAAACTACTAGAAACAGACTTTATTTTTACTCGTAAATTTCGTTGCATAAGACTAATAGATCACATGAGGACCGTCCTTTCTGGCGTTTGCCAAAGCTACCAGAGTCGCCAAACGACCAGTCCATCCTGAATTCGGCACCTTTTCTGCATTTTTATGAGCAACCCCGCGCTAGAAATTTGGTTCAGTGCATGACTCTACCTAGGAGAGTCAATCACGGACGGGAATTCAGCTTCGGAGAACGCTGCGGCGGCTCTCAAAATTTTCAATGTTGTTGGAAGCAGATGAAGCATAACAATGCATTTAAAAAAAAAATACTTCATTTCTACAAGCGAATCACATAGTTCACAGAACAGTTCCATGGTTCAATTAGGCATCAGTAATGCATGACATAAACAACTCAGATGCATACAAAAAAAATAAAGTCAGAAGGAAAGAACACTGACACATTAGCCCTTTCTCATCGCTTGACAATTCTTCATCCACAACTGGTCACACAAGTGAAAGACATAAAGGACCATAAAAATAGGACAGAAAATGAATAATTCACTGAATCAAAGAAAGAGTTAGATGAAATGTCAATGATGACAAACTTCATTAAGACAAAGCACTCCAGGTTCTGCCCCAAACCCTTCATCTCTTTCAATCCAAATCCAACATCAATAACATATCAATACTGGCCCCCAACAAAGCAAAAGAATCACTCTTTTCTTTTTTTTAAATTTCCTATCAGAGAATTTTCTCTAATAAGGTTTTGTACTTAGTTTGGCATATTTTCATAACTCAAAAAAAAAGATAGTGAACTACCTCTAGAGTAAGATTTTTGTGCTTGGAGCTCACAACCCAAGGCAAAGCATGCTATTCTTAACTGACTCACAGCATGTGGCGATACATCGCAGGCATTTAAGAGAGAAATGCAAAGTTACATTTACAAGATCAACAGTCCCAAGAAATCACAAAATATCACAGGGCATCTTATCTCTTGCTTTCTTCTTTTCAACTAACAACCACTTATTAAAATCGTACTAGGCTCTTTGTTCCATTTATGATTTAAAATATTCAGAAAACATGCAGAAGAGGCAAAAAATCATATGGAAAATGTATAACACAAAACAATGAATGATACCTGGATAAGTAGGAAAAATGAGCAAAAAGTGTGGCACATATATGTAATTTAAAAGCCATAGTTAAGGGGAGATACAGAGTGAACGAGAGGGTGAGATTATTTCACACAAGGACAAAGGACCAGGGATTTGAAAAGCAGGAACCAGAGACAAATACAGAACAAGGAAATTTATCATCATAGTCATTTTAATCTACTTCCAAGCATCACATATCTTGGCATGTACAGTAGACTTAATAGACCAATCCTGCAAGCAAGCTTTGAGCTGTCATGTCAAGGAAAGTTGAAATGTTGACAGTTACTCAAAGCCTAAGAAATCCAAATGAAGTTCTAAAATGAGACTAAACAGAGGGGAGTTCACATTCATGAATATCAATCCAATACAATGAGTTTGAATTGAAGCCAGAACTTCCTTGGGGGTATAAAAAAATGTTCTCAAAAATCCTTGGTAAAAAGCAAGGCAAATGTACAAAGAATGGCTTATTGAAGGAGATCACAATGGAAAGAAAAATCTTGCTTGATACCCCTAGGGTGAGCTGGGCTGAAACATTTTTGCAAATTTCTTGCTCATATTGGCCTGATGTTGGCTGTAATCTCGTCGAACAGCCTTGAGCAGATTTCCTAATTCACTGGTTTGGTTTCCTGCCCGCATAGCCTTCTGAAGATCAACTATACTCTTCTCATATTCTTGAATTGCATGAAAGGCCTTAGCCCTGCGATACAGGGCCTTGGTGTTTCCTGGTTCCAGCTGCAGAACCTTTTAAAGGGGATGGAAAACAAGAATGATAGACCTCATGACCTCTTCTCTAATTCTTATCAGAACACTTCCATGTAGAGTTGACTTCATCTATTACAATACAGCTTACCAGAATACCATTGTGTGATACCAATTTTGTAACCATAAATTGCAATATGAAAAACACCACATAAAAGAAATATGGTTATTAGAGTAGCCCACCCAAAGGAATACATTTTTCTGAAAGATTAAATTTTTTTCATTGCAAAAAAAATATTTATTTTTCTTTACCAGCTTGTTCCCCAGCCCAGTTGCTCCATGGGGCCTTAATCATAAACAGCTGCCACTTGACTCTTTCATGAACTGAGGGCAGGGGCAAGAGGGACAGCAAGCACACCCTTTCTTTGAAATTGAGGCATTAATATAGGCTGCATATGTGGCAACCAGGCCTGCCTTTTTCTGATTAAAATGAAACCAAGTTCACATATGAAATGAATTGAGCCTATAAAAATCTGCACATTTTGATTAGACTATTAAGAAAAGGAGGAACCTTGGCTTAGCCTAAAAGATTGCAATAGAGAATGCTCATTGAAATAAAATTGATAAAGAAATTCAAAGAATAAGAAAAAAAGAATGTAAATTGAAAATGTATTAAAAACATACATAAAGGACAGCTTGCATAGAAGGAAAAAGAATACAAATATTCAGAATATGAAAAAAAAAGAGAAAAAACTGGAGGATAAAACTATGGGGGCAGAAAAGTGCAAGAAATATTTAAGAAAATGATGAATGAGTGTACAATAACAGGTACTGCACCATATTGTTAAAAAAATTGCTTGAAGCACAAAGAAGGAGTACATTACAATAGTTTCAGTTAATGGAATACTTTGGATTGTAGAACTACATAAAACTATAGGTTCACTGGTCCCTGGAGCAGGGCTGGCCCTAACTATTTTGGTGCCCTGTGCAGAGATTCTCAATGCCCTCCACTCCCCCCTACACACACACATTTGATCAGGGTTGGCATTCACTTTCTGAAGTGAAATTGAGAGGGGTATCTATTACTGCTTCATTCATTCAGTTGTGTTTTGGTGACCCTGGTGAATCTGCACCCTGTGCAGGGGCACATGTGGCACATGCCTAAAGTCAGTTCTGCCCTGGAATATTCCATTATATGGGGTTGACTACATAAGACTATTGGCTCTCTGAATAAGTTCAACAGATGTCAGATTCAATTTTTCATCTGTTTCATATATGTCTCCATTTCCCATCTGACATGCTATGATAAGATCAAAGTATAGATGCTGCAAGTCTAATCAGAGTTTCAAATTTTCAGAGATTCCTACTTTCTATCTGTCCTATAAATGCCTCCATATACATTACATGCATTTCAAGAAGGATAGAAAACAATTCCAAGATATCTATAGTTCTGATAGAGGGGTATCAAAATGGATGAGTAATAGAGGAGGAATGATAAACATTGCATGTAGTCATGGTATATCAAATCTATGGTATACCTAGCACTCTGCTTGCTTACATATTGCTAACCATAATTGTGAATGGAACATTGGTATTTTTTTAAAACTTTATTTTAAATTCCAAATCCAGTAGAGTAGTGGGATCAATATAGCAGCTACTTCTTGATTATGATTTGAAGAAGACTTACCTCAGAACATGCAGCGATGACAAGATTGTATTTTTGAATGTGTAGGCAACATGCTCCATGGTTGAGCAAGCAAGAAATCCTATCATCAGATAGGGGAGATGCTTTCCTTCCCAATGGTATATTTTCTTCAAATCTATAGGTGATACACGTATACTGTAGTCATACACTGAAACTCTGATAAATTCAGCATTTAGTGATGCATGCTGGGATTCATCAGTAAATGCTACATGCATAGGGAAATATCAGACTAACTTATCAATGTATCTGAGGGCCTTCTTATACTTCTCATCTGCTTTTAAGTAGTCTTTCTTCTGGAAGAAAGAATTTCCAGCTTTCTTTATTCCTTCCACTGCCTTTTTCACTCCATCCCCCTGAAAAAAGGGACCAGTACTTGGCATTTCAGGTTTTGCACTTGATGCCTAACTTGTCATTGTTGAGGCTTGAAGCACAGAAAGGGGAGTAATTATGGGATACAGGCACTGATAATGATTATCTAAAAAAAAATGCTATGAACATTGAACTTATGAGCACACCTCCATCCTACATTAGCATATTTGCTGTCAAGTGCATCACCATACACATGGCAAACCATTATTATGTAACACATCTTTGTGCCATGTGTATCACTTGTGATCACTACTGATCATGGCACTTTTAAGTTCACAAGGTGGACCTTGCCCATAAATACTTGGAATGACTCCAAAACATTCCAAAAGAGACTGTGGACAAGTTTGACATCTGAGGCTGACTTATCAAAATTCTATTCAGCAGCCAATGTATCAAAGGAAATTATGTAAAATGCTGGAATGTGAGTTTGGATGGTAGAATTCACTCTGGGCTATGTCTCCATTGGGGAATGGTTTATGAAGTCAAGTGCTGGATTCCTAGAATTGCTGGGGTTCATACAAGAAAATACCAACCCAACCCCTTGGGTATTATTAGCTTAACCCCTTAAGTGGGGAATTTCTCAGACATAAATTACCCCATATATATTTCTTAGCACTCACGGCATTAGCTTCAAATGATAAAATTGAATCCGAGGGCCAATCTGGATAAATATCTTCAGTCCCATCAAGCTTAATGATGCCCCAATCTTGACCTTCTGGTAGCTCACCACAGCATATAATCTTCACTTTCTTCATATCAAGTAGGGGAAAGAGAGAGATATTTAAATTTGTCATAATAAAAATAAAGGTGCTTTTAATCAGCCCAATCAGACTTACTTTGATAGGATGACCATCTTCGTCAGTTTTAGCATTCTGAACATGGAAAAGGACATCTAGTCCTGCCACAACTTGGCCAAATGCCACATATTTTCCATCCAGATGAGGAGATTGACGCAGGGTGAAGAAGAACTGAGATCCATTTGTGTGTGGGCCTGAATTGGCCATGCTCACTCGTCCAGGGAGATCATGCTAAAAAAAAGTAAAAATAAATTATATGATCAATGATAAGATAAAAGAGAAAACATACCATTTCAAAATTTTCTAAAAGAGCAGGAATTCATCACTCTCAACTTCTTGACACCAAGCTGAATATTCTTCAATTTGATGCTCAAAAAAGCAGATTCTTGCTAGTTTGAAATGTTTGAGATTGCATGTTAACCTTTCCATTAGTTCATTGATGATACAGAAAAACCTTGCAAATTTGATGCAGGTGCTTTCAAATATGAATAATTTGAAATTCAAAGGCATTTTTTGGTCCCATGATTATTCAAGCCTGTTTATTTCCAAGTCAGCATATTTTGGTCCCATGAATTTAGAATCAATGAGGTTATGAACAATAGCAGAGAATATAATAATGGATGAAGTCAACAAAATGAAGCTCACCCTACAGTAAAAAAAAAAAGACATGAATGAGAACAAAAATTACTCTAGGCACAGGAAGGCACAAGTTTCTTGTGATTGAGTGGCAGTGTTTGCTAATCTAAAATACAAGTAGTTCTCATTGTTGTGTGAAGATAAATTAGAGGGAAAAAAAAGACTTGATGAAACAGTGAATTAATACTGAAGGTGATAAATTAATACTTGCATTAGACTTATCTGAAATAATGGGAGTGATTAAACTCCATGATTTCTCTCTCTTGCATACAGTGATAATGACTGACAACATTGCACCTATAATTTGCAGTATCAAGATCAATCAATATTTTAATTATCAAGATATTACGAAATCTATTTTTATTCATGTACTAGGTTCTTCGAGTTTGCATCATCAAACTAACATTATGCAATAAAAGACTAGGCAAAAGGTGCAAACCTTGACAGAGAAATCTTCATCAGGGAAGGTCTTCCCATAAATGCTCTCTCCTCCACTTCCATTGGAGCTATGAATATCTCCTCCCTGTATGATCAGATTGGGGACTACTGCAAATACAAAAATGTGTAGTGTGAACATCAAAGTGCAAATGGAAGCAAACTAGAGGGAACACTAGCAAAATTGACAAGAAGTTGATTGAGGTAGCTTGCCTTTATGGAATTCAGTTCCTTTATAAGTGAGGGGAAGACCGTTGCTACCCACTTTTTCCCCAGTGCAGAGGCACCTGAAGTTTTCTGTTGTTCGTGGGGCCACAGACTTGTAAAGCTGGATCACAATTCTGCCAGCTGCTAGTAAAAGAGAAATCAGATTGTTAGTCAGGGTTAGAACAATCACATACAGGCTCTATTACTGATACTGCAGTACCAGTGGCTAAAGTACTATCTCACCCAACATACTGACACCACTCTGCCTGTTGCCAACATATGCCCACCTCTCTCCCTCCAAAATCAAGTGTGATGCAAGATTTTTATTCACCCTTTGGATGTGCTAGTTTGTACACACACTCTCCCTTACTTTCAGGCTTGATGCTGAAGCCGTGTTAAAATCCTCCTCACACTGCCTTTTGCATAAGCCACTTTCTCCTGGTATAATAATCACATAGTGATGACATAGAGGCACTACATTCTGTTTGGCATAAGAATCTGGAATGTCTTGCTCATTTAGAGGTTTATGTGGAAGCTAATTTTTCCCACCTTAGTTAGTACATGTGAGTGTACCTTGACTAGGTGTAACTGAGTAATTTTTTACTTCATGTCAGAAGGGTCCAAAAACGTAAACTCAACAATAACTGATCCATCATACAACTTCACTGAGTAAAATAGGTTCTACTGTAATAATTTGTATTGGAGTTGATTAATTTCAGAATTTTTATCATCATTGCATGCAGAGGTGCTTCTTACTAGTTATATACAGGTTGTCCTTTAAGTGATTATTATAGCTTTTTTTCATTTAAACATTTCTCATTCATCTATTCTGCCAATTTGCTTACAGCTATGTTGCTGCATTTTTTTGCTTAATTCATGAAGGCATCAAACTTCCTCTTAAAGATAGTAAAGGTACACACCCTCAATGTGACAGTTAGGCAATTCCTGTATCATGCCAAAATATGTCAGGTTTGGAGAACAGATCTGGAATTGTAGCAAGATCAATGGAGGGGTAGATGATTTATATTTTAGATCAGAACTTTTCAAAGGATTCAGTGGTGGGTAGGGGCCTTACTGTAGGATCCATTTCTATGCCCTCCCATCACTTGGGAATAAAGACGATGATGATGACGTCTGACTGACCTCAGTCTAGTCAATCTGAAGGCTACAGGCCTAAAACAGTTCAACCCACCGTATATCAGTTGAAATGTCAAGTCCACTGGATATTACCATAATGCTGCTATGGATATACATTGATTTGGAAGTGAATTCGTATCTCCTTTAGCAAAGGCTCCATTGGCATTATTTATTTATATCATGGGAGACATGTCCTCAAATTCTTGGAAACATCTTGACAGCATTGCCCAATGTAAAAGGCTGCGTCAATTCATTTCCAAATCAGCGTACCCATAACCCAGGAGAAAAGCAATTGCCCAGTAATCTGGAGAGACACGCACAGAAATCCCCTCCATCGACATCTAAGTAGACATATAGGTCCCGGACATCGAGTTCCTTTATCGATGTATCCGGATTTCCGCTGGGTGTAATGGCCATGTGCTTGAAATATGACTAAGCTCCTCTGGAAGGCACCATGCTCGACACTGCTGCAAGAATCACCATGGAGGCCTCCTTTAAACACGCAAGTCATTCTTCTCACTACCTGGGTCTCAGTGGCTCTTCGTCTGACTCATGCTTTTTCACTCAGCCCGTCCAGCATCTTCTAGCAACTTCTCTACCCTTCTAGAATACGTAATCTCTGCTGTAGATACAGACTCCCTTGTGAGCTTGGGGAATAGTATCTATAAAAAGGTGAAACAGAATGAGTAGAGCTACGATATGCTAACTTGGCGTTGATGCGAGCGTTTGTGCATCATGTTTGAGATCTGTCATATTGGTCTCCTTATTACGTTCGTGTCTGTAATATAGCCCTAAACCTTATAGTTAGGCCTCAGATAGTCATGCTTAGGCTTAAGGATGGGGAGATCTAGTTGAGACGTACAACTGGTGTACACTTCCCCATGCTACCTTTCTTGTGCCTTCCTTGTATAGGCTTTTGAAAGTGTCCAACTTTGAATAAGATTCCCAAGAAGGCCAAGTGTGCTGAGCTTTGAGTTTCATGATGGAATTCCCATCCCTGGGGAAACATTGTGCTGAGGAGTCATGCAAACGACTTGGTAAGTTCAAGGTTGTTTAGTGGTACCAAGAGGCGATAACACCCATTTAGATACCACATGTCGAGGTCGAGCGTTCCTTAATTTTAAGGTTGGCCTATTCCTCTTAAAGCTGAATATGTTGTATTTTTGTGAGTTTTGTGGGTTTTTTGCTTTAAAATTTATTTTAGCATATTGTTGCTTACTGCCTATTCCCTTAAGTCAACATTGCCCCCTTCTTGCTTGTCCATAAAAGCATCTAGTTTCTTCTTAAAAATAGCCATGAAAATGCCTCCCCCTTATAGAAAAACCTATTTTGGTGTCGCCATTTTGGCTTCTCCTTTCACCCCTTGTCAGCAGCAATTTTACTATGATTTTTAAAATATGATTGAAGGAAGTGGCTATTTCCAATATAGTTTTGTCATTCATATATCACAGACTTCCTCTCTCAGTTACCTGTTTCATAGTGTGGAGGGATCTTGTTCCTCATTTGCTCTAGCCATTGAGTTTCCTAATTGCTTGAAACTCGGTTAAAGTGAATAGGTACACTATGCCTAAATGCAAGGCAGAGATATCAACTAATGAGATTCATCATTGGGACATTAAAAGTCATTTGTTACTGGCTTCCGCTATTGAGAATGGTGCAGGTGGTAAGGATATGAAGAAATATGAGGGGTGTCCAGAATGTTTCCACAAACATTTCTGAAAAAATTTACTGGTTGGATTCCAAGAGTTACAAAGTTAATAGTGTGGCTCATGCTGCATGTTCTAATCTGTTGCTAGCTGTCAGCCTTTAGTCATTCACCAACTGCTGGGGTGCTAAGATGGAGTGCAACAAGTTGTTGTTTCAGCAGCGTTCTATTGTACGCTTTTTGCATTTTTAGGGCATTAGTTGTGCTGAAATTCATCAGCATCTGCAAAAAATGTTTGATGGCAAAGTAATGAGTCAAAGAAATGTACAAGGGGGTACATTAACTTAAAGATGGCTGGGTTGTGGTGAGAGGTGCAACATGAAGTGGTTGCTCATCAACTTCAGCAAATGATGAATTCCATCTTTAAGCCTCTATCCACTTGTACACACTTCTTTGACTCATTACTTTGCTACCAAGCATTTTTTGCAAATGCTGGTGAATTTCAGCACCACTAATTCCCTCAAAGTGCAAAAAGCATGCAAGAGAATGTTGCTGAAACAACAGTTCATTGCACTCCATCTTGGCACCCCAGCAGTTAGTGAACAACTAATGGGTGACAACCAGCAACAGGTTAGAGCATGAAGCATGAGTCATACTATTCACTGTGTTACTCGCATTGGAATCCAACCAGAAGTAAATTTTAAGATAAATGTTTGCAGAAACTTGATGGGCATGCCTTGTACCATAGCCCATCATGTGCATGCATGCATCCTTGTAACCTTTCCAGTGAGAGAATAATACAATACATTGAATATGGATACTCCCATGAACTAGTTAGTAGTGAAAGTCAAATTTCCAGTTTTTTAATTGTTAATTTTTTCTCATTCAACCCAACATTAACTTAGGCATGTCCATCAGCATTATCTGTAGTATTTCTAGGTTATCCCCCATAAAACATCCTAAGCCTTTCCTGAAAATGAATTTTAATGGTGAGCCATTCAATGATAATGGACTGGACACCCTAGGGCTGAATGTTGTATAAGTTTATGTTACAGAGTTATGAGTGATAACTGTATGTTGTGCTCAAGTGAAAACAGGTAGAATGGCTTTTTACATACCTTGTTCCATGCTCCTTTAGCATCAGTCTTGTTATTGGTAAAGGAGAGAGCAGAAAATGGACAAGGCAGTGAAAGAGTACAATTGCCCCCCCCCCCCCCTGAAATTCTGTTCCTACAGGAATTTTCACCCCCATAATTTATTTGGTAAGTGCAATTGTCAGGCAAAACACTATTTTTCAGTCCCCCTTGCAATTAATTCATCTCCTGTTGTTGACATGTTCAAGATTGATTGATTGGGACTGGTAATGACTCCCATATATGTTAATACATATGCTTTCACACATGAAATATGTTATACCAGACAGACATGTGATGTGATGTCTACTCTGTTTGATCTGGAGGAATAATTTCTTGCTAAGCTATGGAAAATTTCATAAATATATTGAACATTTCAAGTAGAATTTAATGTCATTTGTTCTCCTTGAGTGATGAAATACCCATTTGTATTGTAAAAAGCTATATCATTGTTAACAGATATCTATATTCTACAAGGTTGTTGCTTTCCTATGACAACACATTCTTCATTTTCTTGAATATTTCAATTTTAGCTATGACCACAAGGTTGATGTTTTCTTGGATTGGCTAAAGTTTAAAGAAACTGCTTCAGATATGGGCCTAGGCTCATATGAGTGTCATTCTGTTTGTATGGGTGCTCTGGGTTGTCTAAAAGTAAGGTTTATTTTTTCCCTGACAGATTTTCTTCCTGTCAAGTGTGATGCTTGTAGCAAAGTGTTTTGGTGAGTATCATTGAAAATTGTTCTTTTCATTTTGCCAGTTCAAGTAGCTGATTTTATTTTTTGAGAGCTGACTTTCAATAATATAACAATATAACCCTTGACAATAATATAATTATAATCTTATGCAATAATGCCAATTACATTTTCTATGCTATCCCAGTGTCCCTAAAATTTATACACAATGTTATGGAGATGTGTCATTTGTAGTATTTGTTTTGTGACTTATGCTGCTTTCAGTCAACTGGCCCTAGTATGTAGCTAAAGACCAATTATTCACTATTCTCTGCTGACTGACAATCAACAGCTAAATTCAGGACCTATATTTATTCTAAGTAACCCCAAGTCTGTCAACCAAGAAGTCCTTTGACTCCATTTCTACAGAGTGACTCCTATAAGTCTGGCATCATAGGAAAAATTCATGTTTTTCTATTTCTACAAACCATAATTCATATTTTTCTATTTCTACAAACCATAATTCATATTTTTCTATTTCTACAGGCCATAATGTCTCTGAGCAAGGAAGAACGAATCCAAATAATTCTACTCAATAGGAAATCAGAGTCAAAGAGAGGCCACTGCTGAATTTAACAGACTGCATCCAGACTGTGAGCCAATAACACAGAGTTATGTTAGCAGACTTGTTGCAAAGTTTAAGGAAACAGGATCCATAGAAGATAAACCACGCAGTGGACCTTCAAGGAGGTCCACTGATACAGCGACTGCTATCCTTGTTCATTTTAACAGAAGTGAATAAAAGCTTTTGTTTTGCCTTTTTTTAGTATTTTTCCTATGATGCTGGACTTATGGGACACCCTGTATAATAAACCCCCCCTTTGGCTTTGAAATTGTGCTAACTCAGTTGAAGTGACAAAATGCAACGCAAAAAAATGTGATACTGCAGGATACCTTGGGACCTATGCTGGTGACCAGGTCACTGTATCATATAAAACAATGAGTTAGTGTAAGTGAGCATAACAGGGCTAAGTTGGTTTTTATATTTTCAGTAGCAAGAAAAATTCCAGAAATTTTTAATATTCATATGTATTTTCAGCAATCATCACATCCAGTATGCCAGTCATTCCTGCCCAGAATCCTATAGGAAGAATGTTCAGGTTCCAATATGCCCCTTATGTGGAATTGCAGTTCCTATCAAGAAAGGGGAAATGCCTGATATCAGAGTTGGAGAACATATTGACAACAATTGCAACTCTGATGTTGCCCTTTCTAAACAAAAGGTTTGGAAAAAGGAAGTGCATGAGAGAACCTGCTGTATGGTTCATCACAATATCTGGTATAATGAATTTCACAACTTGATCATTTTAGCATATTTGAGACATTACCTGAATGACTTCATAACTTACCATGTGGCATCATAGAGTTGTGGATTTGTAAATATTCAGTCTCAGGCACAATGGTAGCTTTGAAAACATTGGCACTTTGGTCTAAAGGATTGTTGTGTCAGTGCTTCTGGAAAATGACTTGCCAATGCTTTGACATGTGGTTGGGGGGAGGGAGTGTGCTGAGTGAGATGAATAGCTGGTAATTGAAATGATGATGCTTGACCTAAGAATTCTCATGCATTGCAATGACTCTGCTCTTTGTTACAGTGTTGAATTGTCAGTCTGGTAAATATTTGATTATCATAGCATTGTCATTTTTGCATTGCTTAAAGTGATTCCTGGAAGTTTGGTGATTATGAGCAGGTCATTACTCAATACTAACCTTACAGGATGTTTTCTTATGCACTTCCCCTACATTATCAGTTTTTTTTGTAGCACTTGAATGATTCATTTTGCAATTCTTTGTTTTCATCAGGTGTATGCCAATCGTTGTCAAGTGAAGGGCTGCAAAGGAAGAGAAGTGATTCCTATCCATTGCCCAGATTGCAACTTGAACTTCTGTCTGAGGCATCGCCATGGAAGTGACCATGACTGTAGAGGAGTTACATCAGTTTCCCATTCCCAAATCAGGTACTTATCTTTTTTTTTTTTCCCAAAGTGTAAACTGAAGTAAATTTGGCATTGTGTCCCATTTTCTTGTAGGTCTTCACTGCCATTGAAAGAAGGTGGGAGAGGTTCAGATAAGCCCAGTCAAGAGGAGGAAGATCTAATGTTGGCCAGGGCAATAGCTGCCAGTGAACAGGAATACATTTCACAGAACAGAGACCAGACCAATACTAGATCACAGAGAACTCCAATGAGGAATCCTTGCAATGTTTCATAATGTGCAGGAGAATTATGCATATTCCTCAGAAATATCTTCTTACCCTGTTTGACCTGATATGCTGTGATTGAGAATTTGAACTGTAATGGGTGTCAATTCATGGTGTTAGCACATGATTGTTTCCAGCCATAGGCACTCCCTATGTTGTGATCCATTTCAATTCATGTGTACTATTTCTTTGTTTCTTCTTCCTCAATGCAATTTTAGAGTACAAGCCATTTTAAGCTGCAAAGAATTTAGGTGAACATGTTTGCTGAACTCCAAATGCTGAAGTACTTTCTTCATTTGAGGAATGACACTTCTTAGCTTGTCAGTCTTTTTCCTTTGGGTCACACTGTTTGATATATTTTTTACAGTTGTGGATTGTGGCTTAAAGGCAAATCAAGGTGGACAGAATCACTTATACGTGAATGACACAGGCCTATTCCATTTGTTCAATGCCCTTTTCAAATCTCTTGCATTCCACTTTAACCATGCTCAGGCTCATTGTCTGTCAGTTGTGGATTAAAAAGAACTATGATGGACATAAGGAACCGAATGCCATTACAAGTGTGGTTTTTTTCATGAGATGTTCCAAAAGTGTACGCGCTGCACATCAAGTATGGCATGTGGCAAGGGAGAATCGGATTGGATCGGCCATATAGGTATCGGCCGATACCGATACTTTGGATCAGTATTGGTGCATCCCTAGTATTTAAGTGTGCACCTGCTAAATGCCTAACATTCAGAGCATTCACGTACTGTAGAGAAAATTTATTTCTCTGCAAGTTGAGGCAAAAGAAAGGAGTATTTATCGAAAATACAACTTGTGACAAAGCAGCACCTAGAATCAACGCATTTATATGAGCCTTGACTCCAAGTATTGGCTGTTTTCATGATTACAAGAGGTGGAAGTATGTGTGGATGAGGTAGGAATAGGTGGTTTTTGATTGCTGCTCATTTTTAAAATGGGACTTTCCAGTTTAGAGAAGCTTGACCATGAGATCAATGTCCAGATAAAGGTTTAACTATGCAGAAATGTTAGATCTTTTTCAATGCGGCCCACTCGAGGTTGACCAACATTATTAGTGTGGCCCACTCAAAGTGGACCAAAGTGTCCATTAGGCCCTTGCCTCAAAAAGTTTGGGGACCACTAGTTTAAAGGGTATTAAAATTGAGAATAATTCTGTGATGGATTTTCTAACCTCTAAGGAGTTGATCTCCCAGCAGATCTTTCAGCAGCTGAAAGGATAGAGGCCTACTGACCCTTTCTTAAAGATCTACCAGATCAACTCCTTAGAGGTTAGAAAATCCATCACAGCATTCATCTCAATTTTAACCATTATCTGGACAACAGGAATCCTTTGGGCTCCTCAGATTGTTTCATTACACTACTCAATAAATTTTATTTTCTAAAAATTTAAATGTGCCTTTTATAGACAGTTATCCATCTATCAAATATAGAATTTAAGTTTTGGTTTGCTTTTAATGGAAAATTTCTTTAATTTTTGCTTTTGCTCATTTGTCACAAAAACACATTGCCTGGATAAGAGTTAATTACCCCTTCTGCAGACCCTTTGGTAGACCAAATTGAGATGAATGCTGTGAGGAATTTTCTTACCTCTAAGGAGCCGACCTAACAGCAGATCTTTTAAAAGAGGGTCAGTAGGACTCTATGCCCTCAGTCTCTGAAAGATCTGCTGTTAGGTCGGCTCCTTAGAGGTGAGAAAATTCCTCACAGCATTCATCTCAACTTTAATAGCCCTTCAGCAGACCCTTTGATAGCACATTGAAAATACTCCCTCTGTCCAGAAATGATTGTCCTGTTTCACTTTTTCTTGAAAATTAAGGCTGGCTTGGGGCATTAATAAATTCTGCTTATGTAACAAAATAGTCTTCGGTGTCCTCTATAGCTCATATAGATTTGAGCATTTGGACTCCTTTTAAGGTGCAGTTTTGGGAGCCGAAAAATTCTTATTTGTAAGAGTTTTTGAACCACACCGATTAGTCCAAAATTACATCAATGGAAATTCTCGCTTCAGCACCTTGGGGAGGAGAGTCACTACTGCACATTACATCCCCGTAGCCCGTGCCCTCGATTGATCAACGGCAGCAACCAACAGAAAACCTCATGGAGACCGAATCCCTGGCGACAAAAAAAAACCTTACCAACGACCAGCGGCGCGCGATATACGACTTTCTTTTGTCGGGTATACGCGACAAAAGAAAGACGTTGCTATAGCCACGATGGAAACCTGAAGTATGGGTCGTGGGTCGGAAAGGACAAACTTACGCGTTTGGGCCGCCTACCGCTTAATTTGCTGTGCCCTATGGATGTTGTAAAATCTGCTCAAGAGTCCCTTTAAATAAACCCTTAACTCCCTTACAAGATCTTTATTGAGAAACAAATTCATTGGCTTCGCTTCACTGCATGTCAATGCAGGGTGAATACTATTGCCACAATGGTGGGACAAAGGTTACTTATGACATGGGGAAGTGTGTCCCTGTTGAGCCACCAAGTGAGTCCAGTTCTTTTATTGGGCTCATCAACAACTAACTACAAAATCTATAGTCACCAAGAGTCGTCAGTCGAAGTGCCTGCCAATCCATCAGGCGCGTTCTTCTTTAGTTAAGAGTCGAAAACCAGAAACAGGACAATCATTTCTGGACAAATAAAAATGGGAAACAGGACAATCATTTCTGGACAGAGGGAGTAGTTCATAGAAACTATTTTTAATCCACAAATATGATTAATTTTGCTAGTCACCATTGAAGACATCGGCCATCTCATGAGAAGAGTAAGAATGGTGTATTGCAATTGGAAGTGCCTCACGCTCAGAACCTTTTGATAACCCCCATAGAAAGGAATCACTGTGCTTACTGATTTAATGCTGCTTCCATATAGCAATGCAAAAAGAGAAACCTTTCAGGTTGAGCATATTGGAGAATAGATTAAAAGTCATAAATTCGTCAACACCGATTTGAAATTGGTTCACTGCTTACCTTGCTTGAGAGCCTTACCCTGGTAATTGAATTGAAACTCCTCGTCCTGGAGTGGCAATCCTCAAACTTTTCCCAACTGGTACCCCCTCTCAATAGGAAGCTTTAGTTCTCACTTGCCCCTCTAAAGAAATCAAGTTTATGCTTTAGAAGTCAAGAGCAAGAGTAGACCTTAATGTCTTAATCATAGGTTGATACCACAAAACGGACTCGCTATTATCTCGTCCATTCGTAGATTGTCTAAGATTCATCTAAACCAGGCATCCTTTAGAGCTTCCTTCCTGCTTCTCAAGAGGTCATATCTCATAAGCGACGAATGGGTCTTATTCTGAACACAGAGCCGTTCTGGCAGGACTTAAACACCAGAGCTGGGTTCTTGTAAATTTCGCTAAGTTACGAGAGAAGACCATTCTTACGGTCGTCGTCGATTGACTGTCGATGGGAATTATGGGAGATACAGAAGTTTGGACGTTTCTTTTGGTCCTCCTGGGTATTTACCAAAATGTGAAAAGCCTGCACAGCGCCTTAGAGCAAAACCTACCGAATTGTTCACTACATATACATCGTCCAGGACTCCTTCATCACACGGTCGTAACTGTTTGGTGATTCAAGTATTGTTGACCAGGACTGTTCATACAAACAAATATGGAAAATATACTGCAAGAACTACTGCATGGAAGCTCATCATGAAGGTTCAGCGAAGTTCAAAATGTTGTCTTTTGAGGTGAGAAGCACTGAAATCTAGGGGAGACTACGGTATCGAAATCAAAATTGCTGAAATGCGGAACTCTTTGTCCAAAGAATCGAGAACGTGATGGATCGACCAAGAAAAACAGATCTGCGTTGTTGTCCGTCATCATTATCACCCATTAATTTATTGATCCACGCGCTGAACAATACAAAATCTCTTGTGATTTTGGCCACCCTGCTGCTTCTCTTCCTGAAATTATCTCACGTCTGGACTAGCTTCCATCATAGAGCCTCTGCCTGAGTTCAGCTCTTGAAATTTTCCCACAATATTCGCACTTTTGGAAGGAATATAGGCAAAACATAACTGATATGTATGGCATTAGACAAAAAACACATGTTTGCGTGGCAGATGCGATTTCTACTGCAGTGTGATTTTTTGCGACAAATTAACCACATGTGCGATGAAAGTATGAGATCGAGCCCTGGTTCTTGTTTTGCAGTTTCACCAGAAAATGGTCAGTAAGCCATGGCAAATTGGAGTGTTTCAGTTTATTTAGACGGTTCGTCGGATCTGCAGCTTCATTGAGGGCTGCAGATCACCATTCGTTGAACACAACATGGATTCCACTGTGAATTGGCATCGAAGTCCACAAAGACTCAGCTGAAACTTGTAATACTCGTATGATGAGGAATCGGTGCAGTTCACGTTCGCGATAGTTTCTTCAAATCCGCCACACGTTTTTTGACGTACATCACGTATTCCTTGCACCCCTTTGGCAGGAGCATGTTGAGAATTGCGTTTGGAAGAAAAGTAAGACGGAGATCCGCATGGTAAACCCATCTGAACTTTGTCTTTTCCGGATTTCCCAGCAGTGGAGAATATGCGAATCCCTGAGGATATAGTACAGCCCTAAAAAGAAAAGAAACAAAAAACGTATGTTTATTAAGTGCTATGACAGGACTTTCAACGATGATCGCTGAAAGAGCGTACACGTTCATCGATGACCTGGGGCCGTATTCTACTAGCATCTTAGAAATATCCTATGCAAATCGTTCCATTTTTGCCATGTATTCAAATGGGTCAAATACCAGGTAAGCAATTTGCTAATAGGGGAATCGTTCCTCGGAAAATAATATGATAGAATATTACCCCTGGTCTCTACGAATGGTAAAATAGGCGATTTAAAATAAAAAGTGAGCACCCGAGGAGCAGTGAACGCGACAAATTCATTCATCTTCGAACCGACGCCCTGCCGAGACTCCTGCAGGAATTCTCGTGCTCTGTACTCATTAAAGATAATTAAGAAAGGTATCCAATGATAAGAAATATGCCGTCACCGCAGCAAGGAATTTCAAGCAGTGAAAGGGAAAAGAAATGAGCATGTCCACTTGAAAAGTACGGGAGCCCGCCCGTGTTTTACTTTTGGAAAGGTACCCTGTGCAGTAATATTAAGTTTTTGAAAAAGGTTTTTATCATCGTCTTATTTGTGATTGTCAGCGCCTCAACATTCATTCAATGCATTAAGTCCAATCTGTTATAAGTTATCTTTGCGGATAGGTTTAACAGAGTCCTGTGCAACATGGTTTTGCCTCTCCAATTATTAAATTCAACCCCCCATGCCCTTTTACGAAGCCATTTAAAAAAATTCCTTCAAATAAGTAAAATGCTTGTTTTCGGGAAGAAGTAGTTCTCTGTGGCAGATGAATCTATTAGCTCATGGAAATAGGAAAGTGTTCTTCGTAGCAAAACTTTAAGCTGAGTGGTACTATGTTGCTCTCAGCCGCCGATTCCATCACGTTTGCAAGAATTTCCAGTAAAAAGTAAAGAAGACACACTTAAAGTAAAAACCGCAGTGATTCAAAACTCTTGATTTCTTTTTCAAGAAAACTCTCTTAAAAATGAAAATTACTCAACGATCGAATTGGACATCATCTGAATCCCTGAATCCCCCTTCTTTGGGGTGGGCACAAAATCCCAGTTGGTCGCGATACGTCAGCCTGAGATCGGACGAGCAGAAGCAGCGATATACGACAAAAATTATTGCACGATTGAAGATCGATTGGCAGATTTTTCTTATGGAGCGTAAGAAAAGCAAAAAAGGCAATAAACTCGAGACGGATCGACTCCAAAGCTCTCTTTGATTCGATTCTGAGGGAACAGCTCTACTTGACCCAACAGTGAAGTCATTTTGTATATTGTTCAACTTTTTTTTTTGCTCTGTTAGTGCCCTTACAGCTGCTACCAACATCTCCAGTGATGTAAAAACTTGTGTCGTCCATCACTGCATCTGCTTGGCCAAATGTAGGCCATCTCCAATTAAAGTATTTCTCGTATGCATTTATACCGGAGTCACTTGAGACTTCGTATCCATCCTATATACTCATAGATCCAGGAGGGACTCATATATGTATTACCGTGAAACGACGCAGATGTTCTTGCTTAGGACTGCTAATTAGTGCTTCTGTTACTGGTCCCATTTTTGGGGTACCATCTCTCGCAGAGAGCACAGAGGGCATGATTTATGACGCGTTGGTATAAGATAATGTACACATACACATATGAATGAGTTGAAATAAAGTTTTAACTAACCGTCCGAGTCGTGGGCACCAGTCCACAACTCGAACGTAGTTAAAACGATATACCTACCTCGTACTTTCCTGCGTGCCTCTTATCAAAATATCCCATATTTTACTGTTTCATCCCCCGCTAGTGCTAGTTAGCATTGAAGAAATGCCAGGAAAAGCGAGAGCTAGGCATAAATTCCGAGGGTGAGGGGCAGCCCGCATACAACTCGCCTTAACAGGGATACGATATTTTACCACTCCGTCTCTAGACATCAGACTTGGCATCCACCGACTTCTTTTTGTTTCCCAATTCGAAAAATCCCTTTCGTGGAATCCCACTTCAAGACAGAGAGGACTTGGAAAAGACTGTTAAATGGTTCAAAGGGCAACCAAAAGAATGGTTCAAAGAAGGCTGTGAAGGGATGAGTACTAGGACGGGAAAATTCCGTCTCGCTGAAGGAGGATTGTGATGAAAAAATTCGCGTGGTGTGTAGCTGTTTTCATTTGTACGTCAAGAAAAACTACGAACGTCTTCAGTGCTCTTCGCATATACCAACAGAAAGCGATGTTCAACTCTTATCTTCCAGGAGGAATCTTTTCGTTACTGCAGAAACGTGTTGAAATGCAATTTTTCAAGTTGTTCTCAGCTGGGTCCTCTTAAGCTAGGAAGTCATCGTGGTGACTCGCGACAGACAAATTATCGGAAACATGAGTCGTTGATCGATTCGCCTAGGTCACCTTACATGGTCACCTTTGGTATGTCATTCGGGGATGACTTGCTGATACGTCTATGTTTGCATCCGGGTAAAGCGGATGCATTATACAGATTCGAATGCGCCTATCATTTCAAAATACGAAGTAACTGCTAGTTCTACTAATTTTCTTATGTTTATGCTCTGTCACTGTCACATCTTCAGATTTGATGGCAGTATGCCATCTTCTCATTCTTTTCAGATGTTTTTTTTTCCAGAGCCACGTCCACACCTACGCGATTCGGTCGTGCAACTCGTGGCCGCCAACACAGTTGCATACTGTTAAGTAACAGGGATCATCCATTGCGCAACTCGATGCGTGGGGTAGAAGTGGATTGGGTTCTACACTTTCGAGCTATCGGCTTCTTTAACTTGCATCTGCAGCTGTCTCTTTTCTTACCGGAGCGAGGGTGGGTTTAGGAGAAAAAACTGTTATCTTGGGATATGATACCTTCGGCAAAATAAAAATAAACGTAAAACACGATTATGAAGATCGGAATAAATGTAAATAGGAAAAAAAAGAAAGAAATGAACTACTTCCCGCGAATCTTAGGGCGTGGCTCGCGTGCAGTTCATTAGCCGTGGCGCCATGACATGTAAAAAATAAAAATAAAAACTAGTTTTGTTTCAGGGAAACACTGTGGAGATGTCGCTTGATGATACGACATGGCGAGTGTACACGAACGTCCTTGAAATTGCTGATTATTCTTTCTTGCGAAGGTCGGAATGGCTACCGCAAACAAAAATTATTCACGTGAATGCCTGGAGCATCTTATCCTCCTCAAGATGCACCATGAATAACTTGCCTCACGTATTCATCAGAGAGGGAAAGGCCAGGCCATGAAATGCTGGAGAGGGAATGGTAAATTGTGTCGCCTTCCTTCTCCCAGCTGGCTATTGTGACGTATTCCCTGCTCCAGATGAGCCCGTTCGCTGCCGGGGCTGATACCTGATGAGTTATTCGGCATTGAGAAGTGATATTCTGCAAAGAAAAAAATAATAATTTGACTAAATTCAATCGTCCCTATACATATATATTCTGTCCTGCTAAAGGTATCCGAACCCCACGCAGTTTGGAGAGTCGTAGCATCGACTGGCCTAGTAAGGTGTAGGACCGTTGTTGTCATAAATAACCGCTGTGGCACTTTGAGGTATGCTATCCACTAGTTCTACAGTGTTTTACACCTGAGTTAGACAATTTTTCACTTGACTCGGACACACGTGCATAGGACGTTCCTCATGCATGAGTGTCGAAGTCAAGTGAAGAACCCTGTAAATGGTTCCACATGTGTTCAATTGAGTTGAGGTCAGGGCTCTGTGCAGATCACGGCAGTAAGTTGATGCCGTGGTGCCTAAACCGCGCACTGTTACTTCGTGCAGCTTGGCAGGGGCCTCGTAAATTCACCATATCCCCTGGAACATGCTTACCTATGATATCTTGATATCTACTGGCACTCAGACACACGTGTACCTCGCAGTTAGGCTGTGCAGAAAGCAGCCTATTCCTTGAACCAGCACCGCCTTCCTTCACTCCAGATGGATATCCTCGTGCAGGCGACTCTTGTCGCCCCAGAGAATTGGAGATCGCTGGTACGCTTCATGATGCTGTCACTCCCTACACCTCGTCAGGTGACGCTCTGCGTTTTTGGGGGTGATATGCGGTTATCGCATACCCTTGTAAAGTACCCACATGATTCCGTGGAGATTAGACTTTGGAAAACCAATGTGGCTATTTCACGGATTTGCTTCCTACACATGTGGTAGCCAATTATTACACGTCTCTAAATCTCTCTTAAATCTTCGTGTCTTCAGCATGATACATCAGGATCGATGCCAACACATCCTGCCTGGAGACTCGCTGCATTTATGTAGGGGGTTCCAAGATTTATAAGCCTGAGGCACTTCCAGTTGCAATACATCATTTTTACACTTCTCATGAGATGACAGATGTCTTCGATGGTGACTGGCAAAATGTAATCTTATTTGTCGATTGAAGATTGCGTCTATGCATTTTTTTTCAATGTGCTACCAAAGGGCCTGCTGAAAGGAATTAAAAGTGAGATGAATGCTGTGATGAATTTCCTAAACTCTAAGGAGTCGGTCTCCCTACAGATCTTTCATAGAAGTAATCAGTAGGACTCTATCCTAGCTGCTGAAAGATCTACTGGGAGATCGACTCCTTAGAGGTTTATCTCAACCTTAATAGCTCTCCAGCAGACCCTTTTGTAATACATAAAAAAAAAACTCCGCATAGATGTTATGTTTAATCGACAAATAAGATTACATTTTGCCAGTCACCATCGAAGACATCTGTATTCCTATGAGAATAATAATAATTATGTATTGCAACTGGAGGTGCCTCCGGCTTATAACTTTTTGAATCCCCCTCGTATATTGATACTACGGTACCATCTGATGCCTAATGGGCAGGCCAAACCCACTTTGCGTGAAGTGTCCGGATACTTTTTGCAGGGCGAAGTACATGCTCTGTGTTCTATGCACTCAGGCTTCGGAGCAATTCCTCACCAAGACGACAGAACTCTTCATGACCTGAGGATTCCACTTCATGATGTCTGCCACAGTTTCCCATTCGACTTGAAAAATGACATCTGGAGGAATGTCCAACTCCGTCTGCAATTTGAGAATACCAATTTGGCTGCATTTGTACCAGATTGCGGTCAAAATTTTCACCCGGGGAGGGATTGCGGTCGGATGATCCATGAACAATTCGGATGAACAATCTCTTTCCCGGGTTCTGACTCCGTATTCTTGGAATTCACCCTTGTCTTTTACTCCCCACTCATAATCCCTCAATTTGTATCTATACTATAGGTTGGTCCATTTAAATGGAACCATAGGAAGTAATAAAAACTGAAAAGTCTATTTACATTTATTTATAGCGTATGTTCGACATGTTCGCCATTATTTTCAATGCTATTCTGTAATCTTTGTTTAATCAACACAGATCTTGTCTCTTTAACTTTGGACAATAACATCACGATGCAACTGTGAGTAATGGGTTCACGATTTGGATTGGCTTCATTAAAGTCCGCAGCTGTCTGCCTTGCGGTACGTGATCCACACATCCAAATTAATTTTTACCCTTTCGTCTTTGGATTGCATTATCTTCACTTAACCCTCACAAATCTGAATCTGAAAAAAGAAAATATTGATTATTCCATATGGTTCCATTTAAATGGACCACCCTGTATATTTCAGAGTGTTTGTGTGTGTGTGTGTGTGTGTGTGTCTGTCTGTCCTTTATGCACGGCCACACCTTTGATCCCAGTCCGACCAAACTTTGCATTGCTTCCTCATTTGGTCCGGGGATGGTCATAGGCTAGGTGGCGTTTCTAAATTTGGACCCCCCAGGGTACTTTATTAGTAGATATTTAGTACATATATGGCCGATTCACTACTACAGACCCCCCAAAGAAGTCAACATTTTGGGGGGTCAGTACAAAGTTGTAAATGGACCCCATGTTACTAAATACAATTTTCGTTGCACTTCGCAGCGCAACGAGTTTCACACCTTGATGCTTATTTTCCCGCGGGGACGCGTAAAACGTCACCGATTTTAAAACACAGAGTCCCCTTTCATCCTGCTGGAGGAAGGACACAAGTTGGGGTCTCCGTCTCGCTCTCCAGGTCGCAGTTTCTTTCGAGCTTTCGCAACTGTTGGGTACGTCCTCGAGAACGGAAGAGAGCGGCTGCTGCGTTGAGCGTTCTAACTCTTAATTCGTGAATTCCCGACCCGAAGTTCGTGGAAGTCTTCCACGGGAGGCTAGTTGCCTATATTTTAATTTGCTTCCATTTGTCGTTCTCCCTTCCCACACCCGTCTATGTTGCGTCTGCCGCCGAGTTGTATGCATCAGAATCAGATTGCAAAATGAACAAAGGGACCAAAGAAATATTACAAGCTTCCATGCGGTAGGGAACATTTTTCAGTATTTCTTGAGAATCTCACATGAAAGAGTAATCAGGTAGATCAGAAAATTTTCTTGCCCAATATGCAACTCTGAATCGAACGAAGTAATCATTACAGGTTCAAGAGTAAATAAATTCGCTCACTTCCAAATAGACCATCATCAATTTAGTCTTGTCATTTTGGGCAGTTTTGATGAGGACATCATGATCAGAGAGGGACGACGTTGCCCACTTGGTTGTCCTAAAAATCTCTTTGAGAGTGTCGGTGGTCTGCTTGGCCTCTTCTAAATATGGCCGGAGATCTGCCTGAAAAGGAATAAACGTGTTATGAATTCCTGTCCTGCACGATGATGAAAACTTCCGTTTCTTCGGTTTTTGAGATACTATCAAATAAAACTCTCCTTGCCGTACATGGGATGTGGGACACTAATATTCAAACCTTCGACGATGGAAAAATGAAAAAATAGTACTTTCTATTTCTATTTCAAGTACTATATTTGTTTTACTTTTGTACTTTAAATAGCGTTGAAGGAAGGTAAGTACTATTTAAATAGTTCTCTCGAGTTTAAATTACAAATCTAGGCCATTAGGCCTAGATTTGTATCGTTGATTCAACGAGTGGAAGAGAGGGCAAAGAGATGTTGTCAACCAGCTCTGATCATTTCAATGTTTCCAATCAGTGTCGCCAGATTAATTTTTTTTTAATTTAACAATCGAACTAGTTTTCCGAATCTCAAGCCATTTTCTGGGTAAGTATGCATGCAAATTTTTTCCATGACATTTAAATCGTTCTCCATATCTTGATATTTTGGGGGAAAGTTATAAATTAAGGTGAAAGGTGAAACCGTGGATACCTACAAACTTGGGATTTTCCTTTCTTCGCTTTCATACCTTTGATCGTAGGCAAGAGGGTTTGAGTTGCTTGATGAGCACAGATTCGTGTATTTGTCAGCACATGGTATTTCATTCACGTTTCCAGGAGCTTTGCCAGAAGAGCTGTACTTCGAGGATTTGATGAATTCTTTATTCGATGCCTACATTCCTCTATCGTTATATTACCCAATTTGGAACCTTAATGTCAACATGTATTTCTTACCCATGAAAGCTCTGCATCACTGTAATTCACCCTATCACCCGTGCCGCTTAGGCTCCCTTCAAATGAGTTGCCACAAGGTATGGGGTCCCGAAAATGGGATGAATAGAACTGGATACATCCATCGATGATATCCGTGAAAATACTGTGCATTGGAAGACTGAAAAATGACGAGATGGCAAGGTCAAGTACAGGGTTGTTATACAAGATAAGATTTTGTCATAACTATGACCTCTGTATCACCATCTGGCGAGGATGATAAGAATCCTAATTGGCCCATATCATTCAAATATCAACTGCAGTCGACGGTTTCATTCAGTTACAACAAAAAAGTTTGGTGGTATCTTTATTGCAACTATAATATTATTATATATTATAGTTGCATATTATATTTTATTAAATATAAATATTCAGCATTCGATTACTATTTGTATTTACATTTTGAAAGATCTCTGCTCTGATGAACAATTTCCTGCTTCAATTTTCGAAAGTTACTCTCAATACTTAGTAGCATATTTAGCAACCTAGACTAGTCGACTAGTCGTCAGTTAGAGTAGCCTGATGTTTGAGACGAGCGGTGATGACTCTCTCCATCGCCCATATCCATGTAGGAAGCATCGTTCATCAACCGCTAATGTAGCTCCCCAATCACAAACATGATTGGAGAATACGGGAACTATGCTTGAAAAGAACCACCTTGGACAGTGATATACCCAGGGTTCCACGACATGAGTTTTATTGACGTATCTTCATGGGGCTCAGTTCAACCAGTGAAATATACTTTTCTTGCATCGGAAAAAAAAGTTTAATAGCATGAAAGAAAGTAATTATAATTTTCATTCTCCCAGAAAATCATTTACGCTATAATTTGCCCGCCCTTTCACATCATCAACCAACTGTGAAGACAAGAGCACTAAAACTTGTAGAAAGTAATGAGGATGCCCCTTCTATCTTCTTTCGTACTTGAGCATAGTGGCTTATTATTTATCTCTCCCCTCCCTCCTCCCTTCTGTCATATGAACAAGACGATACGCTTGAAAATATTCCTATATTCATCTATCGAATTGGTGCTACATTCAAATTACCATTTCTCGTACATTCCATGCTATGAGATCACAGTAACGAGATAGAATAGTAGATTCATGCAACAGAAATCTGTTGGCTTAATCATATGTGACTGTTATTCCGTGTCCGTTAAGGCATGGCAGTTGAATCGAACCAAGCGATTTGAGAAGGCATCCTTTTTGAACGTGTGGGAATGAAAGTTTCCCTCAATTGCGAAATAAGTGTATATGTTAAAGGCAGAGTATAAAATTCAGACAATAGATATTCTATATGGAATGCCTGATTTCATACTCTGCTGTAGTTTACATATTAATTCAGCCATGTCCTGCGTAGTCATTCTTGGGGTGAACAAGCTGTACGTACCATACATGATTATTTTTCCAATCCTCCACTATTGAACTTCACGCTTGAATTATGATCGAATGTAGTTAAGGAGGGAGAACAAAAGGGGAGAGGAGAGAGGGATTTACAGGTATTTTCACGCAAGCAAATTTGCTTTTCAAGAAACTGAATTCATGCCAGAAGATACTCACAGGTACGTTGTGTTTCTCATCAGAAGTTGAGAGCTGGTTCCTGGGGGAATCTCCAAAAACCAAGGAAGCTGAGAATATTCCAAATATAAATAATTATTTTAAAATATATATTGGTTGCTGATGAGTCTATAAAATAGAATTGCACCCTCATTAACCTATCCTATCGATCATGACTTAATACTTTTACACATTCCTCATCGACGTAAAACTCGAGCTGTATTTTTTTCTTTTGCTGACCCCTGCTGAACTGCAATGATAAGCTGGACACTAATATCGGGACCATATCATATTTTTCGCCAACGAGGATGAGTCAGTTGCAAGTTTCGCCTTCCATTCAAATTGTTAAAGACTCTCAACAAAAAAAATCGCTTTTATATATAAAAATCGCTCCATCGGGAATGGAGTGCTCCGCCTTCGTTGTAGGGAGGGAAAACTTAATTTAATTGTCAATGAACTCTAACGAAGGTGTTTAGCAGTGAAGTGTCAGTTGCACTCCTTGAATTTTGAAAATGGATTAACATGCTCTCCTGGGATGAAATGAAAAGTTTACATGTACTGGAGAGTGCCAAAAGTCAGATCGTATGTGCAGCTCGAGTCTTGACATCTGGTGTAGACATTCTGCATTATTAGGGCTGAATGTTAACTTTAGTTATTCCCTTCCCACAGAAACAGAAAATATATAACTTCCTGGAAATGTCACTAAAAGTCGAGAAAGGATATCGCAAGCAAGGACTAGAAGGACGATCATGAGTTATATCCTGGATTAAAGCCAAAAGAATATGCTGCATTTCGTGCAGGAAATTGCTGGAAATTTTCCCCTGCTGCAGATTCTGCATGAGAAAGTCATGATACAGTTTTGAATACAAAAAATCCACAATTTTCTGGTAATGTACCCTTCCTATCCCTTAGAAATGCATGAATCGCAGGGTGGGCTTTCAACATGTACTTTAATTTTCTTGTATATATGTTGCATGGAATAAAAGAAGGAATTTGTCAAGAAATTGGCTTTTAGCATTTGTTATGACGTGGTCATCTCGAGAACTCACCAGAAATTGCAGTGTCGAACAAATCCGGGGCGCGATCACTGATGAAGAATTCTGATGATAGGAATAACGTCCGAAAGATGAAGTCAGTCACGAAGGAATTCATATTCTTGGTTCTTTACGATGGTGTTGAGGAAGAGTCTTTGCACGACAGCCTGTATCAGCATCGAGAGACATCGCACTATTCCATGACTCAGCCTTATAATGTATGTTGTTTTGTTCTTGCTGAGGTCAACTTAGAAACTTCGTACCATACATCCGGATCGAAGCGATCCAACTAAATGGTTTTAAACGGCCAATACATTCTAGTTACTGGTGAAGTTAGAAAACATCCATCAACAAGTTCTCAAATGAAATTTCCGAGTTCTTTCGAGTTGACACCTCATCTTCTATTCACTTCGATGCTTGTTATATCGTCTCGCGATGAATGGCGAAGCATGTATATTTGGAAAGCCAGGCAAAGATGTTCTTCAATACCATGCGATTTGCCGCCACTCCAACTGCATTTTATTCACTATAAGTAGTTCAGGGTTGCCCAAGAAAAAGGTAACCAACATGATCTTTCTGGAGGTTTTTTTTCGTACCTGTCCGGTACAGCGGTTGTGAGATCGGTCCACCTTTTTTAACTGCTAAAATGACGTTTGACGAGCCAAATTCTCTTTCAGTGTTAACTGGTATATAACAACAAACAATATAATACTATATTTCGGTTACCTTTTGTTTGGTCCACCCTGATGGTTCAAAAAGTTTCCGGACTGGGTCTGGTTCGCACCACTGGTAGCAGTTGGAGCAATTTTGTTGGTGTGTCCTTCAAAGTAGTGGCCTGGCTAGTCACTCACTTTTGCCAGCACTTGTACAATTCGAAGCAGGGGGGGCGAACCCATTTGTTTTTGACTTCCTTGAGGGCGGCCGTCGCAGCTTTCATCACCTCGTCGGTGCTGGAAAAGCGTTTTCCTTTCAGAAGATACGTCTTTCGCTGGAACAGAAATCTCACGGAGCGAGATCAGGAGAGTAAGGCGGATGTGGCAGGACAGTTGTTCCCCATGTCTGCCAAGAACTGCGTCATCATCAGTGACCGGTGATTGGGTGCGTTGTTGTAAAGAAAATCCCACTCTTCATTGAATTGTCGGTACCATTCGAACACCTGGGACCTTGACGTATTGCTCCTGCACGCTGCCTCCAAAAGTGTGGTCACTGTAGGAGTTTCCCTCATTTTTTGCAAAATGACATTCGCAATCTGCTTGAATTGTGACGTGTTCGCTACCAGATATCAGAGTGACAAATGATACTTAATTTTTTATACGTGGGGAGCTCTAGCAGCCTTCTGGCCTATTTCAGAGACTTTGCATGCAGGAAGCGCATAAAATAGATATCAAACTCTACATCTCTTCCGGCGATATGTTCTGAGCTGCATAGTTTGGGCACAGTCCTAGTTCGGAAAATTTTTGAACCTACAAAGCAGAACAGGACGAGACGTCTCAATGTGTCACTTGCATGTTATATATCATTGTTGGAGTGGTGGATATAAATGGTCATGACTGTAATACGAATCCTTCAATTTAAATTATTAATATTTATATTTTATATATCAGAAAGTAAAAAGAAAATGCCGCCTTCAGGCGATCAGGATTGCAAATCAAGGACAAAAATCGTGAATTGGAGATTAGTATTACGAAATTTCTGTAAGTGAAAATGAGTTCACTTGCTGGTACCTGGTCAAATGAACGGAAATGAGAAGGCCACCTTCCAAGCTGAGTGCTGTGTCCTTTTTTTTGTCTCCATGGCTAACTGCTTCTATTTCTATCCAGTGATGAAAGTCGATCCTGAATTTAACTTATGTGCACGTACGGATATCACAGTCAATTCACCACCACAACGAAATGATTTCATTCATAATTCATTGCAAGCTATCGTAATGTTATGCACGTCATTGTAACGAACACGTTTCAAAGTTTTGGTACACTTGGTTTTAGTGCAGTATGCGTTCAATGTCAACCGTTAGTGTTGAGGATTGCACGCAGGTGACACGAGTTAGCATATCTCGGTTGATTTGATGGGGACACCCAGCTATTGCCTGTTCCAAATTAGGTATTGCTCGGGGAGCTCTCTGTTCGTGTTCTTTGATGTATCTCCAAAGGAAAAAGTCACAGGGGTTTATGTCTGGACTTGTTGGAGGCCGTTTCAAAATGACACACCTCACACTCAAAAATAAAAAATTTCAAGATGACACTCAAAAGTCACACTTCCCAAATCGATACCCAGGCATGTTTGACTGCAGTTTATCGTGGCCCATAATAAGTCTAGACATAAACCCCTGTGACTTTTACCTCAGGGGGATTACAAAGAACACGTAGCTGAATGTATCCATCAATTTGGATTCCACACCCTCTCCAGGACTATCGTTCATTTCCATTCATTCTCCTCTCCTGTAACAAATGAATTACGAGGTGGTATCAAATAATAAGGTTCCCTAATTTTTTTCCTTCAAACTTATTCATTTGAGCAACCAAGACATTGTGTATACAGATGAACAAATAGGAGTACATCAACTATTTTTTCAACATAGTTGCCAAAATTATTCAAGCACTTTTATTATTTTGCGAACTCTGATAGTTTTGTGCAAAACTATCAGAGTTTTGTGCAAAAAAAATAGGGAACCTTATTATTTGATAAGCCCTTTTACGTCATTCCCTTCCAATCCTATGGATTCCAGTCCTTACAAAAATCTCTCGCATGACGAATGACTATTTTCAAAACCAAATCTCATGTAATGACACAACAGCAGAAGTAAAGATACCAAAGTTATTTCTGGCAAGGATGCCACTTTGCCGTCAACGGCTTTATGACGTTGATGCCGCGTCGCCGACTGTTTCAGCAGTAAATTTCGAAAGAGAGAGAGAAAATAAATAAAACAGGCATTCTCTCATGTTCCTGAAGTTGCCACGTTTCATTCCCATCCCTCTCTGCTACCAAGGGATTTATTCCCATTCGCGCTGCATTCTGGCTGACGTTGATTCGACTCCTGCGATTGCCCCGTTGGTCTCACACGAGTCCTGCGTCCCATTCCACCTCACAGCTACTTCGGAGATAAGCTACCTGGGTTCAGCTTTCGCCGCTGGGGTTCTTTCATGCCTCACTTCTCGAGACGGGAGTGCCGAGTGTTCAGGGATCTCCCTTCCCAAATACGTCGCCCTTACAAAAAATGTGCACCATAGGAGAAAATGGAACTGTGTTAACATAGGTTAGCCTATGTTGTTCCATTTTAACCTCTGGAACATATTTGTAAGGGTGGGGGCAGCACTTGGAAAACAATGGCTCGAATCTGTCGGTTTCGAAGCCGGGTCCCCTATTATAGGAGCTAAGAGAGCTACGAACCGAGTCACTAACTTACTCCGAATTTGTGACGATAATAAGAATTGGGGCTTTCCGAGAATTTAAGCTTTCCATCGGTATCCGTTTCTTTCTGGATTCCTTCAGCAAGAGAGGAGTTCACGTGCTAACAAATAAGCACACAAGCAACAATGTCATAGACCAGTGATGCACAACCTTTTCCCCGTAGAGGGCCAAAATTTAGATTTCGGCTCATGTTTGAGGGGATGGAGGGCCGAATATGAGCATAAATAGGCCGCATATAAATATGGAGCTTTAGAGACCGGAGGCATCCAAGGGGCCGCAAAAAGGGTCTCTGCGGGCCGCGGGTTGTGCATCACTGTCATAGACTAACCCGGTCAAATGATTGAACTTGAAATGTGTTGACCCTCGAACCTGAGCGCTATTCTGTCCCATCCTTCCTCTCCTCCTCTTCCTCCTCCCTCCTTCCCGATCCTTCGCTAGCATCATTGTATAGTGACATACCTAAACTCTCACAGTGGCATTGCAATTTATGTTTAATAGGTCAGGGCACGTTCACCTAATGCAGGATCCGATGTAGAACTGAAAATACTCATTGTTCGGATGAAGGAAATGCAGTTAGTAAACTCTTGAAACATCGTTTCTGTTCAATTTGAACTTCTACGAAAGAAAGTTCGCAAGCGATTTCATCCCGTTTACTATACTTTGCACCTCGCGAAATTCGGGTAATTGAAATGGGTGGGAAAATTTTCACTGCGCTGTGTGCCGAAAATTATGGCGTCCTACGCAAGAGCGTAGGAAGCAACTTTGGGACAGTTCGTCTCAGACTTCTGCTACGCCGGAAATTTAATCACGATCATTCCATGTGCTCTTTAAATTACATCCTATTTACCTTTTGATCACACGAGAATCACATGTTCGCCCTTACTCGTTCTTCGGGACGGGTTTATATGCTTAGAGATGCGCAGGAGATAACAAAGTCCCTTGACTATTGGCCAGTAAATCTTTGTTCATACAACAGTTCGTTTAAAGAAATTTGCGCTGTGCATGAGATTATCTTTTTCCCTAGGGAATTTTGAGATTTCATTCAGACCCAATTATTGATCAGTGAAGTGAAAATAACTCAGGTGAACACAGCATGAGGCTACACGATTTATAGACGTACGGGGAATCCGCTTGAACTTAGTGGAGTCGGATTTCGTGGCTTGTAATTACAGAATCTGAATGAGTGTAGGGCTTCCAGAGTGTCCTACCAGAAAATACGTAGCCCACATTCGCAGATTTAAATCGCCAGCCCAGTAAATACACGTATTTGAAGGAAAAGAAAAAGCCTCGCAAAGATCCCAGCTTTATTTGGAATGAAGGTAACTCTGGACTGGTATCCAGTTCCTTGTACATTCATGCGAAATTCTGGAGTGCGATAATAGGAATATACGCTTACGCCTACTTGGAAAAAAAATATAACAGTGTGAGCCGGCTCGAGCCCAGACGCACCCATTTTTTAATTTGTATTTTACGCCTATTCTATTACTTTTATCCAAGACCTTGGGCAAAGGCGTGACACATGTCACCCCTGTTATTCGATACTCGACTCTCGACAGGAAGAAAGTAAATACAGCATGGACGCGTAGGCTTCCTATAGGACTGGTATTCCTGGGTTTCATCCTAATCCGCTTTGCGAGCACTGTTCGAAGTCGGGCTAGAAAATATCCGTAATCTCTCTTGGATGGTTCGGGCCAGCATTGAGCCAGAAAATATCGGCTGGACTCGTCTCTACGCGACAATTTTCAATGTGCCATTTTTTCCTTTCAACTACCACCAGATTGTTTAATTGTCGATTTAACATTTTCTCATGCGTTTGGTTCTCCCACGGATTAAAGAGCCAAAACGCTAAGATGCCTCGAAAG